CTTTTCACCTGGAAAAACGTATTTAAGGTTCACAATCAGACCTTAAAACCACTGTTGGAGCTTTGAGGGAACATTTACACTGTTTGTACCTTGATGAACGAAAAATGTACCTGCACACCTTTACTTCCAACAGTGTGTGATGTCAAGCTTTGTAACAATAGAAAAACCCTTTCTGGTACTATTTAGAACCATTTTCAAAAAATAGAACCAACCTCAAGAACGCTTTCATGATGCAAAAGAACCCTTTAATTATACAAATTGTTCTTTGAGTGTTCATGGTTCCACATAGAACCCTTTTCTTTACTAACGAACCATCTTTTTAAAGAGTATATTTAAGTATCATTTAGGGAGATAAGCACTTTGTTCGAGCACTGTTGAAAGTGTATATTTGGTCTGAACTGAGATCAGCTACTGTTTAAGAAATGCTGTTTATTTGTATTTTCTTTCTTTTAGCTGTCATCAATGCGCGCTGACTCATATTCAAACAACTCCAAACCAAATCACTACATCTGTTTGTGTTTGATTCAGCCAATTAGTGTTGGCATTGGTTGGATTCATTCAGAGCACTCACTGAACACGAAACTCAGGGCGCTAGTGCACCATCGTCATCTGAGAAACACTTCCCCACATCTGACTCAGTTTACAAGTGGACTGTTGGAGCCAGATTCAATCCGTACCACATTCGTGTTTGTAGAAAAGGAGATATTTTACTGTGATGGATTTAATTTTATGATTTATTTTTATGGAAAGAAATCTGTCACATTGTTTGCTGTCAGTTGTTGACACTGAAACAAATGGTAAACAGTCAGGAGTGCAAACTCTGAACTGTTAATACAGAATACAGGCGAATGCAAAAGTTTGGGCACCTGTTCAAATTACATGTTTAGATTATTTTCTAATTGAAACATTGAGTGCGTTTGAATGCACTCAATAATCCGATCATAATCAGATTTCTGCAGTTATACGATTATTCAAATGGTCATGTAAACACCACACTCCGATCTAGAAATCTGATTAAGGAATCCAATAAAGAGGCTGGGTTTTAGCTCAGTAATCTGATTTCTCAGTGCACGTGAACTCTTACTCTGATTTCTTTCAGATTTCTCAGTCTGAGCATGTGTGAAAACAGACGCAGTACCAGAAATAAGCGAGCGGTGGCGCTGAAACCAAACATGAAATAAAGGGTTTAAATATTCTTCATCTTCTACATGATGTATGTTCATATTTTCAGCTAAAGTTTTGCAATGTTTTTAAAAAAAAGCCGCGGCATGAAGTTTGAGTTTTTACGTTTACATCACGTCTTCTTCTGTGAGTTTATTGGCTGGTTGACTCATGTAGACTTGGAGTTTCCCCATTATCTGATTACTCAAGAGCGTGTAAACGCATTGATCAGATTACTGACAAAATCTGATTATTTTTCAGTTATCTGATTATTAAGTGCATGTAAACACACTCATTAACACACTCTCCTCACTTCTGAGCATTTTAATGCACATGTTAATATTTATTCGCTGAATTTGACATATTGGGGAAAAAAAACATAAAATGTGGCATTTGTAAATGTTGTGGCATATTTTATATTTTTATATTAATTTTTTCCATAATGTTAAGCTAAGCAGCTAAATAAAAATTTTGCACTAAAAGTTCACTTATTTTCACTCAGAAAATCAACAAAATATGTAACCTGACTTGGGGTCTTCAGACGTTTGCATACAACTGCATAGTGTTTACTTTGTCCACCCTTGTAGACGAGTAAGTTCAGACAGACCACAAACTCCAAAAGTGCTTCTTTGATGAAAGTGTTTGATAAATATGATCTGAAAACGTATATTTTAACACATTTGTAACCAAATGGAATAATTATGATGTGTATCTAAAGGTGTGTGGACACCCACTCCTCTGAAATCAATGGTTTTAATAGGGAGTGTGTCTCGCATTAACAGCCTCTGCTCCTCTGGGAAGGCTTTACAGCAGATGGTGGAATATTGCTGTGAGGATTTGATTGCTTTCAGCCACAAGAGCTACTGATGTTGATAATTAATCCTGGATAACAAACACCACTCTTGCTCTTTAAAGGCACATATTTTATGTAGCTGTCATATTTAAGCTTGAATGATGTTTTTCCTTCTGGGCATCTGTGGAATTGTTCATGCTTGGTTGAGTGCTAGGTGCTGGAACCTGGGTTCGCTGCGTAAGGACTGCTCAGTACTTTGAGATAAGTTCCAACTCAGTGTCCATATTTTGTAGTGTTTACATGAAGAAAAGGAAAAGAAAAACTGTGAAAAAAAGGGAAAAATGAATTAAAAGCAGTTTCTAGACATACAGACACTTGTTGATTCGTTCTAGTCCACAAACGTCAGTCCAGTAAAAAGTTGTCCTGACTCAACTTAAGTACAGGAGCCTCTTTAAAGGCCGATTAAACGTTCAACTCCACAAACAGGTTTCATGCCTGCCATTTTTTCCTTAGGCTGAATCTCCCCCCTACTTAAACTTGAAGCCCGGCCTCTAACCAGACTGCACTAAACCATTGCTAAGAGCAAATAGGTTAACAGAGAATAACACAACGGTCTAAGCCAGGCGTCGGCAACGAGTGGCTCCATAACTGCATGTGGCTCTTTTACCGCCCTGTTGTGGCTCCACAGCAGAATCAGATTTGTAGGTAAAAATAAAATAATCCTCCTTTACAGTAAAATAAAGCTCTGCTGATCGTTCAACACAGTTTAACAATAAATGGTCTTAAACTCTGGAGTTAATGTAGAACCCTGAAGATCAGTGCAGACTGCTGGTCACCATAGCAATGCAAACAACAGTCTCGCCTAGCTAGTAGTTAATAAAACAATTTAAGACGAACATCGATAATTTGGAGTCGAACGGAATTATTTGCATTTATAATCACTCCAGCTGGTTTCCTGATACGTTTAATCTGCAACAAGAAACTGACAAACACTAAAAAGTTGCAACGCTAAATTAAGGTTCTTATTCGCCAGGTTCTTGTTTGAATTTTCCCACTACACCTTGAATGGTGCAGCAGCTACATTCTGGCACATCAGACACCATCTAAGGTGGAACAGAAATTCTAACAGGAAGCTGGTGAATGAGAAGCGACTTCACCCTCGTAAAAAATCGAACGTTGAGAGACATTTTACAAGAAACTGTTCTACTTTGTTGAAAAGTTTCCTGCCGGAGATTTGAGAAAAGCAGCTATAGTTGAGGTAAAGCTTAAAGCAGAGCAAAGTAAGTCTGCGTTTTCGTTTATATTATATTTGTAGCCTTTACTATGACATTAGCACATACTGAGACATACTTACAGCCAAGATGGTGAAACATTGCTTCAATAAAACGGACATGACATTCTGAACTGCTTATATTTAAGATGTCAGGCTCTCCCTCCTCCCCTTTAGTTAACCAAGGACCAATCAGCTACTATAACAGAGCAAGTGGGATGCGCTGCCATTCCTAAAGGAACAAAACAAGATCAAAAGGTCTCTAAATACATGTGTACATGTTTTTACATTGACTTTTACATATATTTTGGCTTTAAAATCTCCAAAGTCGGTGCAAAGTGTCCGGAACAGTCTTGGTGATGTGGCAGGTCTCCTGTTCTCGTTCTTGTCTTCAGTTTCACTGTTTTTTCTAGGTTGGCAGCCACAATAAAAAGTCCATTATTGCTGTCAGTGTGTTCATTTTTGACTTCTTCACTAATATTAGCCATCAACTGAAAGCAGCCAATAACAACTTATACGCATGTGTGAAGCCATACATAGACATGTTGATGGATTGTATGTTCAAAACAACATAAAATTAGTTTTTGAGCTTTCTAATGGCAAAGAATCAGCCTTAAAGGAAAAATACTATTATAATGATATGCATCACATTAATTGTCATAAGAAAACTAGCAGATTTCAGCAGTTTGGCTTCTGACTGCTCCCTGCTCATTACCGCCTGGTATCAAATGATCCCAATGCTGGGGGGCTTTATACCCCTCTAGCTGACACTTGACATTGGGCTTGGGCCTTAGGCCACTCCAGAGCGTCCAGTTTGACTGATAATGCTTTTCTATTGTGATTATACAGATTGCGTGTGCATGACTGAACACCTGTGTCAGTGAGGGGTGCATCTTAAACTAGGTGAATTCACTAATTAAAAGGGGCGTCTGGATACTTTTGGACACATATTGTATGTAGTGTATGGAGCGGAGCCCTGCTAGTGACATCCTGTATAAATAAAAATAATGCATGGGAACAAGATCTTAATGTGTGTCCATGCCTTAGTAAGGCATGGGAATGAGATCACAGCTTACTAAGTCGTGGCCACACATTATTTTTATTTATACAGCACTCTAGCGGGGCTCCGTATATAAATAAAAATAATGTGTGGCCATGACTTAAGAAGGCGTGGGAATGAGATAATTAAGTTGTGGCCATGACTTAGTAAGGTGTGAGAATGAGATCATGGCTAACTAAGTCGTGGCCATGCATTAGGATCTCCTTCCCACGCCTTACTAACTCGTGGCCAAGGCTTAATTATCTCGTTCCCATGCCTTACTAAGTCGTGCCCACGCATTATTTTATTTATACCAGCGGGGCTTCGTAGCAGAGTGTTAATTAGGAATCATTGCAGAACTCGCCGCCCACGTGACCGGCTTGGCGTGAACTTGGGCCAGGGAGTTCCCTTCCACCGGCCTCCGCTGTAGGTGACCAAAGGCCGAGTTGTCTCGGTCCCCAACCCTCCTTCTCCTCCTCCGCCGCTCGCCCAGCGGGTTCAGCCTCACTCTGGCACGCGCTGGGGGATCCGATGACGTCACGGGCCAAACACACTCTCATCCACTCGCCTTACTCTCTCTCTCTCTCTCTCTCTCTCTCCCTCTCGCCGCGCTTTTCTATTCTGGGAAGCGGTGCTAGGAATAACCCCGTCTGTCCTCATCCCCAACACACACACACACACACACACAAACACACACACACGCCTCCCTCCCCTCCCGCCCTCCTCTCTCGCTGCACTGTCGCGAGCGCCTTCTCCTCTCTTGCTTCTGCGTCGTCCAGCAGGAACCAGCCGCAAACCAGAACTGGACTATTTACTCTCAACAACTCTCTCTCTCTTTCTCTCTCTCTCTCCCTCTCGCTCTCTCCCTCTCCCCCCCCCCTCCACCCCACCCCACAACACATGTTCCAGGCGCGAGACGCAGAAGCAAAAAAAAAGAGGAAAAAAAGCGAGAGCGGCTTCAGTTTTTCACTCTTATCACTCGGCTGACTTTTGCAATCGCCGCGTAATTTTTCATATCCTGTCAGACGGGCTCGTCGCGGCCGAAGCCGAAGGCGAAAAAGAAGCGTCCAGCGCTGCCAGCAGAGAAGCCCGACGCTTCTCGGGATGTTGCGGACGCTCTCGGATACACGGAGCGCGTAACGGTAAGAGAGCGGACTCTACACGTCGCCCCGGAGCAGCTGACACTGTGTCACTGCGCCGTTTGAGCAGCGCTGCGAACGGGCGCGCTCGGGCTTATTATTGGGATATGTGGGGAATACCCGGCCGCTTGCATGCAGATAGGGAATGTTGCGTAATGTCCTGAGGAATTTGCACAGGCGATGCAGACGGAGAGCGAAATCGCTCGGACAAACCCGCGCGCGCCTTCCCCGTCCCCCGCTCCGGAACTCTCTTTACGCGCGGCTGGGTTTAGTGAACTTTATGGTTTTGACTGTAAGGTGCTGTGATCTGTGTACGTCCGTGTACACAGCGTCTGTGTGTGTGTGTGAGAGTGTGTGTGTGTGAGTGTGTGTGTGAGTGTGCGCCAGGGAGAAGGTGGGTGGGACATTGGCTCGTTCCGGGAATGTTCCATGACGTGTTAGCCGTCAGTGAGGGGGCCCATTGTAGGGAGGCTCTTCAGGGGCGCTTGTCGTTGCTGGTCGACTCCTCGTCACCTGAACTAGCAGAACGAGTTGTGTTTTGAAACTGAGACCGTAGTTTTTTTGCTCCTCTTTAGCCTCTGTTGTGTGGCGAGTAAGCATTGTGGTATTTACCCCTTTGCACGGTCAGTTCTGCCTTCTGATTCGCTCCTTTCATTCGAGTCAATGTGAGTCAGAAGTAATACAGTTTCGAAGTTCTGTGGTCTCGGAGAGCTTGTTAAGCTTCTACACTCAATGATAGGTGGCGGGAAGTGAAATGCATGTTATTATGCATGGTATTTTTATTGTAATAAATAATATTATATTATTTATTATAATAAATATTGCAATAATATTATGTTGATTCATATCATTTTTTTTATCCTCGCACTGGTGCACATTGATGTACTCAAAACAATGTTTCGGAGGCGGGTAAAAGATCAAAGACAATGAAGGCCAGCGCACACCAGACCCACCATGTCGTGCAGCATCACGTAGCATAGCGCCGATATAGAGTGCCAGCAGGGAGAGCTGATAAAAGCTAGATTTAAGTTCATTTTTACACTCTACTCATATAAATAGAATAAAATAAAGCATTCAGCATCACTTATCATGCTTGGCATTAGTTTACTGCCTCTTCACAAAGAGGCATTTTTCGAATTAAAAGATAAAAGCTGAAGAAAGTTGGATAGCAACGTTAGCTGAGGTTCTACCATTAGCATTTATCTGTTTACCTAAAAGATTGGCTGCTTTTCTCTGTGAAGTCTTAAGCCACGTGATCTACTGTGTCTTTCTATGTCTCAGTACGGCTTTATTTTAATGTAGTAGTGGCAAAATGCTAAGTGGCGCGCTGAGAAACTGAACAGGGCTCGGAGTCACAGAGCGTGCATTCCTCCATTAAAAACAATGGTCTGGACTTGGCGTGACGTGGCGCATCCGGTGTGCAGTGGCCTTGAGAAAACAGCAAAGAATGGTATGGTGTGATTAACAGAGCTTATGACCTGCTGAAAAACAATCTGTTGACTTCAAAGACTTTTTCTTAGTTTAGTTTACATGCTGGCAAAATATGTTTCCATGTTTCCCTGTTCTAGTGTAAATTGTCTTTTGCCTTTTCTCAGTAACAGCTTCTTGACAGTCACAACATAATGTCAGTGATATATTTGGGAACAGCTTTTGTTGGGAGGACACAGCTGTGTGGAAGACAGTAGTGGTGCAAAAGTAAAGAGTGTAAATAAACAAAGGGTGGCTTTATTTTTGCACAGTTCGGTATGAAATTAATTTAACCCTTGAGTGGTGTTAATGTGTGTGTTACTCAGTGGTCTGGTGGACCCACCACAGTATTGTTTATTTAAATCAATACGGCCATAACAATCTATGTAAAAATACCAGATGTTTAAACTATCCAGTGTCCAGCGTAGGGTTCTCCTTTAGCAGCTGTAGCCAGTCAGCAGCCTGTCCATGTTGTCCACACACACACACACAGACACACACACACACTAACAGAAGGCCATGTAGGAGGAGAACAGAGTGAAGGACACAGCACCTCCACACTTTTACTCGCCGCAGGTTCACCCAACACCACATGTGTAATATAAATGAAAGTGAACAGAGTGAAGACACTGAAAATGTGTTATTTTATATGTTCTTCACAGAAAATGAGCAAAGGCCAAGAATCTGAGGTTGAAATAATAATAAATCACATCATTTTTCTTTTGGTAAACATTGATGGATTAATGTTGTACTAATAACAGAACCGAGTGTTGTATTAATGTTAGCTCCTCAGTGAGTTAAAGCCACAAAGTGACCCGCTGTGTTTTCTCTGACATTGACACATGAGCATCACTTTGTTTTCATCATTTCGGTTCCATCCATCAAGAAACTACTGAGATGACAGGAGATCCTGATTGATGCCCTTAAGCTCTTTTACGACTATGTCATCGATCCAAACTATTCTGCCCCCACCTTTGTGCTTTTATATACACCGATCACAACATCATGACCACCTCCTTGTTTCTACGCTCATTGTCCATTTTATCAGCTCCACTTACTATATAGGTGCACTTTGTAGTTCTACAGTTACAGACTGTAGTCCATCTGTTTCTCTGATACTTTGTTAGCCCCCTTTTACCCTGTTCTTCAGTGGTCAGGACCCCCATGGACCCTCACAGAGCAGGTACTATTTGGGTGGTGGGTCATTCTCAGCACTGCAGTAACACTGACGTGGTGGTGGTGTGTTAGTGTGTGTTGTGCTGGTCTGAGTGGATCAGACACAGCAGTGCTGCAGGAGTTTTTAAACACCTCAGTGTCACTGCTGGACTGAGAATAGTCCACCAACCAAAAATATCCAGCCAACAGCGTCCTGTGGGCAGCGTCCTTTGACCACTGATGAAGGACTAGATGATGACCAACACAAACCGTGCAGCAGCAGATGAGCTATCGTCTCTGACTTTACATCTACAAGGTGGACCGACAAGGTAGGAGTGTCTAATAGAGTGGACAGTGAGTGGCACTGCTGTGTCTGATCCACTCAGACCACCACAACACACACTAACACACCACCAGCATATCAGTGTTACTGCAGTGAACGCTGAGAATGACCCACCACCCAAATAGTACCTGCTCTGTGAGGGTCCATGGGGGTCCTGACCACTGAAGAACAGGGTAAAAGGGGGCTAACAAAGTATCAGAGAAACAGATGGACTACAGTCTGTAACTGTAGAACTACAAAGTTCACCTATATAGTAAGTGGAGCTGCCTGATCGGTGTATCTGGGTTGTGTATATGTTTTCTGCAGTTATTGGAGAGGTGGGTCCACTACTGCATTGTATACTCAGCAAGCTTATGAAGGCTCTGGATCAGTGCTGGTGTTATCGTGATTGCAAATTCAGTCAATAAGAGCGAATCAGACTTTATTGTGAGATTTGATTGCCTGAGCAAAGCAAGCCATTGAAAACACAATCTGCCGAGCACTTCGGTTTTCTACAGAAGACAAAAGTTTCTCTCTAGCACCTCTTGAAATGAGTGTGCTTTCAATTGACGCACAGCCGGCCTGTGCATCTATTGAAAGTAAGGGCAAGGTCTCTCCCTGGGAGCTACACACTGTGGTCTAGATTGGAGGGGATCCTCTCGATTCTCCTTTAGCAGAAAAGTGATAGGGCATGGCACAATGACCGGGCCTCCAGAGATCCTGTGAATTATTCAACCTTCAATCAAGAGTGTTCCAGGCACAGCGTGTGCTGCTGGGTGCAGGTACAGCCTAGTAACACACTTACTGACTGTTCTATTAGAAACACCTCCAAAGTTCGTTCGTAGAAGCTGGTTGCATTTTGTGCTTATCATGATCCAAGAATACCTGCTTATCTGCTTTCAATCAAGAGTGTTGCAGGCACATCTGATACGCTTGTACCAGCTCCACGTAGATTACCATATCACCATATTGCTGTTGTCAGAAGAAAACCTTGTATCTCAAAAATGGTAACTTTACAGGAGAAGGAAAAAACATACTTTACTTTCAATGTAAGTCAATGGAACCAGACTTTTTCCCAAGTAATTTTGGGCTGTTTCTTTTGGTCCATTCGTCACACACAGTATAAAGGTCAACAGGTATTTTCGGATTATGTCAAAAACTGAAAAATGACAAAAATGGAGATACAAGGTTTTCTTCCGACAGCAGTGATGTTATAGACACTACTGTGCTGAGAATGCTCCACCAAATAAAGTCTGGCTAGCGGTAGGGCCCTTTCCAAGGCAAAGAGGAGCAAACTGTGCACCAACAAACGAGCTACAGTCTGTAACTGTAAACCTACAAAGTGCACATATGTGGTGTTTCTAATAAAACAGCCAATAAGTGTTGCTACACTGTAGGTGCGCCTGATAAACCTTCAACATGAATGTTTGCATTGTGGCTTGCTTTGCCTTGGTTGATCTTGCAATGTGCTGCACAAGGCTTTTCTCATGTTTTCAATGGCTGATTTCTGCACCACGTCCTCTCTGCGGCAAAACATAACCAAGAAGTGCATCGTGCTGCACCAGTTGTGGTTAACTTTGCTAAATCGTGCAGCTCGACAAAGGGATACGGAGCATGAGTGGTTTGGTAAAGCGAGGCAGTTCAGCATGGGAGTGCCACCAAGTAGATGCCTCTGGGTTTGGGTTTGGTTTGTGTCTTCCTTCTTGTTTGAACTTACACAAATAGATTTTTGCTGTTTGGAGAGAAAAGTCGGCGCATATATGAATTCAGGGCGGAACCGAGAAGCGCCACTGAGCTGGAAAAGGTAGAAGTCAAACAAAAGAGGCTCATTACGCTGAAATTGTACATGGCAAAGCAAACTTGGGCTTGTTGTTGTTGACCTCATGTCGGCATAAAAGAGCAAAACATCAAGCTTTTACTCCTTATTTTTTCTTTACTCATTCGTTTTAGACCAGGTCTGTGAAAGCAGTGTTGTGTTTCTGTGTAATCTTAATCTGTAACGCTGTAACGAGTCAGGATGAGTCTCTGGAGAAAGCCGTGTCAGTGCTGTTATCCCGAGGCAGTGCAGAAAGCGTGTCAAGTCGAGAGCCGCTGTCTCTATTGACACCTTGCCAGAATGTGAGCGCTGCTTGTGACGTCCTCGCTCGCCTCAGCTGCACAACAGGAAACACTCGTGGCCTCCCCTCCTTCCTGCTTTGAAAAAGGAGGTAGTCTCTCATTCTACCTCCCCCCCCCAACCACCACCACCACCACCCCCCACCCGCTCTCCCCTCTTTTTTCTTTCGCTTTCAGCTTTGTGCAGCAGCACTCACTGCCAGTTGAGACCTACTTTAGCATCTGCTTTTTCGCCAGCAGCCGCTGCCTGTCTGCTTTTTTTCCCCAACAAACGACGTCGCCTTAGCCCGCCCCCTACCCTGGCTAGTGGGCCAGTGAGAGCCTGGCTGGTAATGTTGATTGGTTTGTTCCTCTTTTCTTGCTCTGCTTGCTTCCCTTGAGTGAGTGAGGTTATCAGGTTAGCCAGAGAGAGAGAGGGAGAGAGAGAGAAAGAGAGAGAGAGAGCAATGGGAAGGGCAGGGAGGGCTGCATACAGTGGAAATCTGTACAGAGCTCAATTAGTTTGGGTTGGTATTACACACAAATGACACAGCAAAGCAGATGTTTAGAAGGCCCCCTCCTCGTCCAGTGCCCCTCACAGCTGGAGGGAGGTGGGTGCTATGTCCGGTGGGCAGCTGATGTGAGAAAGAGCTGGACACAGAGATAACAGAGAGAAAGAAAGAGGCTGAATGATGTTCTGGCAGATCTGTTCTCTGTGTGGATCTCAATGGAACTGGGGGGCTTGGTGAGGTGGTGTGTGCACTGAGGCACACAGGGAAGGATGGAAGATGCTGACGTTTGTGTTCAGCACCTTTATGCTATGTCCCCCCCCCACCTTTTCTATGTTGATAATATGGAGAACCTAAACAGAAGCATTTTGCCCTCGGGCTCCACTTGCCTCAGAGATCATGTGAGGTCTGTGTGTTTGTGTGCATGTTCATTTGTTTAACATCCCCCTTTTTCCTCTCTCTCTCTGTCTCTCTCTCTCTCTCTCTCTCTCTCTCACAAACAGGCTGTGTGAGGAAGGCGTGTACCTGGTTTAGCTCACCTCCAGGACAGCTAGCAGAAGAAGCCACAGGTAACGAGCTCTCTATGATTGCCATATACGATATAAGTTATGTTTCATTCATCTTCCACCGCGATCCGTTCCGTGTGTGCAGTGTGTGGTCGCTGTCCTCTCAGGTTACGCTTGACTCTCTCACAAGTTATTCTAATGCCTGTGTTTTTGATGCGTGTTGTGTTACGGCTTTGGCGCACAGATGAAGTTATGGGAACAATGGCATCCTTGGTTTTTCCGAGCATAAGATACCACTGACGGCTTCAAGGGTTCTTCTGGAAACTGATCTAGCACGGGTAGTTTTGCTGTTTAGCACTGGCGGTTTCTGAACATCTGATGTGGAACATATGCGATCATTTCGCAGTCACGTTCCATCCGTGGGAAACTGTAACTAGGTAATGCTAAAGTGTCTATGCTTTTATAAAGTGCAGGAGTTCATAGTCCTTTTTTGAGACTTGTCCTTTCACTCCACTACATTTCACGGTAAAATAGCCGACTTTTTACTACTTACACTACTTTCTGCTAAATACTGTGAAGTAAAAACTCTGTTTTTCCATAATATATGTGACTTTCTCAGTGTTGCACTTTCACAAATAAATCAAACCAGTCGGACCGCAATGTCCACTAATCCCTCCCTTAAATGCTGAACGTTCACCTGTAGCCTAGCAGCTGTAACTAGGCCGGGGCAAGTCTGGCATGGTTTCAGAATGAAAGAACATCATAGAACATAGTAATGTTGCCCTGTACTTTTCAGTCAGGCACCCAATACTCCAGTAGTTTGGATGGGGAGTGAAATTTAACTGAGAAGACAAGAAGAAATGCTGTATTCTTAGAGTATCTCTAAACTTTTACCTCTGATACTTCAGCACATTTAAAAGCAAGTGTTTTTACTTTAAGTATATAAATACAGCGTTTGTACTTGGTTGAGTAAAAATATCTGTACTTTCAGGATCTGTGATTTTTCTGATCAATATTGTTTCTGTGATTTAAATTGCGATTATTTTCTATGGTTTCAGTCACATGATTTTTCTGTTGTGGCCGCCATATTTGGGACCGAATTTCTGGCTTCAATGCTCTGCACGAGCGTAACTAGAGGTGAAAGATGGCTAAAATTACTCTCCTTACTTTGGAAGAGAAAAAACGTTTCCTCGACAAAGTTGATAAAACAGGCTGAGATCCTTATACAGTTTCCCCCTGAACTCCTGGTCCCACTTAAAGTGGCAGAAAAGCTACCAAATCTGTGTTTTCCTGACATTTATATTTCTCATACTCAGCCGCTCCCCCTATTCCGAAGAGTCTCTCAGAGCATTTAAAAGCCCAGAAGCCCACCGGCTCTTCACGTCAGGGTGGGTAAAGGATCCCATGGTATTACATAAAGAGGAGAAAACTCTCTGTGATCATAGGAGGGTAACGACATCAGCTAATTAACACCGATGTAAACAATGCCAGCCTTTAGAGAACTTTAGCTGATGTTACCAGCCGAGAGATAAACAGGCGTCCCCCTAACGGAGCTGCAGACAGCCGGTATAACTTTACTCTCTGTTTCTGGAGATTTAAATCAGGTTTGAATGGAGAATCATAAGTGTTAAATATCAGACTGAATGTCGTGGGTCGGAAAACGACGTCGTGTTTCGTCAGACGTGATTCTGTAAGTTTACTAGTGCAGTTAGTTCAGAGTTCAGCTCCAGTCCTGAAACCCCTGCACTGCATAATTGTGGTTTCCTGGTTAAAATACTTGATATTATTAGCTAATTAATCACTTCTTGAGCTGAACGAGGTGTGAACAGCAGAGAGAAACACTAAACTATACAGTTCAGCGGCTCCAAGCCTGGAGTCTGACACACTGAATTAAAGGTCTGTGTGTCTCTCAGCTTCTGTCACGTCTTGCAGGTGAATCTTTCACAAAGCGCAGCAAACTGAAGACGTTGGGCAGCGCGGTCGCTCCCTGATTCGGTCCTCAAAATTGCAGGGACTATACGATGTGACATCACGCGAAACGCGAGAGTAAATTAAGGGCCAGTGGCTGCATGCATAAAGCATTTTCCACTTAAACATTTGCCTTGAGAGATTGTAAGGTGGCCTCTTAAGATAAAAAGGAAATCTTAAGGCCGAAATTCACTTCCAGTGTTTTATGCTAGTCACCAAAGCCCTGTTACTTTGGCCAAGAGGACCAGAATATCCAATTTTTTGGGCTTGAGGCTTGAGCTTAATGTAGCACGCCAGACTAGTTGAGGTTGTGATGTCACAGCACATGGGTGTTGCTTCTGATTGGTCTAACTGATCTACAGAAAGTTCTTAAGCTTCATTTTATTGGGCTAAATTTCCCCACTCAAGACAATGATGTTAATATAGGCTTTGACTACAAATGCAGCTTTTGCACAATTGCACTCCTTCAAATTACGATTCTGATGTTCTTTCAGCTCAGGTTTCACTCAAGTACTGGATTTGTGAACTTTGTCCACCAGTGCATTCGATGCAGGCTCTTTGCTGTGCAGTGCTGAAGATGCTTTGTTAATGGAAGTGAATAATTCATGACCAGATAACCGGGTTGGAGTAATTATTCGTAATGAGAATGATGAGTACCATGGTAACAGGCTGAGTCAAGGGAAGTACTTCCTGCTGTTGAATGTGCAGCCATTTGAATGAATGCGGTGGTAAACATCGCTAGTGATTTTCATATTTGCAGGCGGCGGAGAGCAAAGACCGAGGAAGAATGAATGAGAGCTTTGCAGCGAAACATCCCTGCCCGGCATTGATGTGCAGAGAGCTGCTGTTTTCCTGTAGAGTTTGTCAATCAGGAGACGCTGTGTGCTGTGAGGTAGTGTGGTGTAGGTGTAGGTCACTGGGCCTGTTGCTAATGCTGGCTTTGCGGCACGTATCACTCTCCCTGTCTCTCTCTCTTTCTCTCTCGTCTGGTGTGAGCCTCCACAAGTGATGGATGGTTTCTGAGCAGTGCAAGAACAGGCGCTCTCGGCCCGGCCCGCTGCTCTTTGAATAAGCCATGTACAGAAATAGACATGCAAAAACACTGATAGCTATCAGGCCCTGAGGCTAAGTGTAGCCCCGCACACACAGCCGCAAACGACTCGTCACTGCTTGGAGACCGGCTGCAGAGGAAATGTGTTTTGCCGTTCTTTATCTGAGCGTGCGTGCAGATGTGTGTTTGTTTTTTGTACATTTTTAATACAAAAAGGTCCAGACCAAAGAAAAATAGAGGAAACATATAATATCAGGAACAAAACCTGTACAAGGCCTGAGCATAAAAGACCGCCATTTAGTCGAAACAGCCATTAAGTATAACTTATTAATCTTTCAGGAGGTATTTTTAAGGAAGTTAGACGCAATATATTTACAAGAACATTAACACCTTAAGAACTAAATGTAATACAGGGTGATTCAAAAAGATTCATCCAGTTTCTAAAGTTTCTAATAATTTATTTCACCTGTAAATCATTAGAGAACAATGCAATAAACTGTAAATAAAGCATAAAGTTTATTATGTAATTGTACAAGGTCTCAGTATGAACCTCCTCCAGCTGTACAGACAATATCAACACCATAGTCAAACTCATCCCGTACTGGATTGAGCGTGTCGGGTGTCGCTGCACTCACGGCTCTTTCAGTGCGATTTCGGAGATCATCCAGTGTTGTGGAACCAACGACGAACGCTCTGAGCTGTTGGAGCTTCACTGCCCACGAAAATCACACTGCACAGTTATGACGGATTCACTCTTATAGAAGTGGAGAACGCAGAACGCTTTCTGCTCAGGGGTCTCATCTCCTCTCAGACTGAAGGGAGCCATCTTCCACTGACAGTCAGAAACTCTATGACCCCCTCATTCAATTGGATTGTGATTGGTTCCTATATGCGCCTCACGGTTGTAAAAATATGGCGCTTTGAAATCAGAGAATCTCTTTGAATCATGCTGTATAATAGTTTTTCATCATCTAGTGTGTCCACTTTCTGCCTTAATCACAGCTTGCATTCTTTTTCAGGAGACTTGCTTTCAGTTTTTTCAAAGAAATCTGCAAAAATATATTTCTATACCTCTAAAGTATAATGTTGAGATGTGGTCTCATAGTGGAAGGATGGACAGAAGCACCTGTTTTTCAGATCTGAAGCAAGAGTGGAGCTTAAGTGTCTGCTGAAAGCTTTGAGATCTGTTTATCTGATGGTGACATGGTTGGTGGCCTGCCAGATTGTACACGGCTGTTAGGAGTCCCATTTTCTCTACATCTTTTAATCTTTTTTTTGAATCTTTGCTTTGGAAACTCCTTTTTTTTGTATGTTTCTTTCTCGTTCACTTTCCCCCTCTGTAAGTGGGTCATTTAACATCTAATCTCCTTAGAAAAGTCTCATGAAAAATGGGTAGTTAGCGGTTTGATTATAAATTAAATAAATAAAAGTGCGGTCTCTGACTTTCACTCAGTGCTGTACATGTTTCACTTGTTGTCTGTTACCGAGGGTAAGGTTAGCATAGCTGCTATGTGACAGTGGCAGAGGAGCGTGGGTGGCTATCACTGGCCATGGCCAGGAGAAAGGGTGATAATATCACAGGCTGCATAAAGGTGGAGGAACAAACAAACCATTTGAGCTTTTCCATTTTGCTCTTGCGTTTACTCAGCAAGGCTCCTCATACTGTCGTACCTCTAATGTTGACAGTCGGCAAACATTTGCCTATCTCTTGGAAATGTAATTGAGAGATTAAGAGTCTTAACTTTGCTTTACAAATGATATTTTAAAGATGGCATCGTGGGGTTCCTGCGTGTCGAAGGCAGAGGATTTCAACTCTGGACTTTAAATCCAGTTTACGGTCCTGGATTTTGTTCTCACTGGTAGTTTATTGATGTCATGGACAGGTTTTCTCAAATCCAGTCGTGGGGACTAGAGATGCACATTGATATCTTAAATATCTTCTGTTGGTATCGGCATTGGACAGATGATTGGATTTGACTGATGTTTCAAAGTAATATTTGATGTTGTATTCATTGTAGTACAGAAGAAGAGAACGCTTACAGCC